TGGGGTCTTTTATTCTTTTTACTGTTAATGACCTCCTCAGTGAGAGCCAAGTTCATGCTGGTAAAATTCAAAACTAAATGTTTTGTGTCAACCTCTGTCTCAAAACCACATGAATAAAGAGCAAAATACCATGCTTTTATTGCCAGGGTGTATTTGCTGCTGTAGCCATAACTTCACTTAACAAAGCATCCAATAAGCTGGTCTTTGTGAAAGGCATTTTCCTTTCTACAGCAAGGCCCCTGAGGTTTAGAGAAGATGGGTCATAGGAGTGAATTACTTTGCTGACCCTCTGGGATTTGTTCTGGTCCTTATCTGGCCCAACTGTAAACTAAATCTTCCTTAGATTTTGTGCAGGGATGAGAAAAAGAAATTGATGATGTCTCTTTAGATCAAGATGCAATTCCTCTACTTTCATTCATTCATTGCAGTCACAGAGGCACAAATCTGAAGGGAAAAAAAGGAGTGTTGATTATGCTCTCTCTCCATTTTAATTGGGAAATAGCAAATACAAGGATAAACAAAGGTCTTGCTATGTAAGTGTGTTTTTACCTGAATGCCCAGCGGCTTCCTATGATGATAGATAACAGTTTCTATTTTATTTTTTCCTTGATCAGAACTAGTTGAGTGAATTCAAAGAAACAGTAGCTGCACTAGGCTAAATGCCCTAGACCAGGGGTGTCAAACTGAAGGCCCATGAATCCAGCCTGCACAGCCCTCTTGCAGCTCTCTGCCAGCAAAAATGGAGCAGTGTGTGTCCATTTTTGATGGTAGAGGACTAGCAAGACAAGCTAAAAACAAAAGGAGAAATGTTTCTCCTTTTGCATTTGAGCATGCAAGAAGGGACAGGAAAGGAGAAAGGGAAAAAGGAAAGAAAAAGAAAATAGCAGTAGACTTATATACCGCTTCATAGGCCTTTCAGGCCTCTCTAAGCGGTTTACAGAGAGTCAGCATATTGCCCCCAACAATCTGGGTCCTCATTTTACCCACCTCGGAAGGATGGAAGGCTGAGTCAACCCTG